TTGCAACATTAAAATGTAGAATTACATATGCACCTCAAAAATCCATTAGAAAAGGTTGTTTTAATGTTAAAAAACCTCTAATTGATCATCTCGACATGGACATGCATGAATATGAAAAAAAATTAAAAATAAAAATTTTGGGTCCCCGAAATAGTGCATCTTGCAATAACATTATTTAGACCATCCATTTTTAAGATTTTCATATATTTATAGATCTACTTGATTTTAAACATTTTTGGAGTTTAAAATTTTATATTTAGATATGAAAATAGATTTTCAGATAATCCTAAGAATTGTTTACCAAAATTACATGTTATGATAAAATTTGGAGGTGCGCTTTAATTGGATTGTTTAACGTTACAACCTTATAGAAACCACACCCTATATATATATAGTTTGTATAGAGCCAAGGCTCGAAACAATCAAATTAGAACTCACCTTCAAACAATGTCGAGAAATGTGGTTTCAATACTAGAAATCTTTGTGATACTCTTAAAATATAATTTCATATTTAATTATAAATTTAAAGCTTTAAAAATAGTATAGATCGAACATATCTATGAAAATCTTGAAAATTGACTGTCCAAAACTGTGTTACAAGATGTACTATTTCCAAAATGTTAAATCTATTTTTTTTCTCATGTCTATGCATCTTGATGTCGAGATGATCAATTTGTGGATATTTGGGCATCAAAACAACCTCTTCTAATGAAACTTTTAAGGTGGGCTTGATTGTTTAGAGCCTCTCCTTTATATAAACTTTTTCCATATATATACAAGACTATTTACCTTCGTAACAAAGGATATCACAAATATCCCTTGCCATTCGATTTTAAATTAAACAATTTGAGGTGTGTCACAAAATTTGAGAATTTTTTTAAAAAACTTTAAACCTAGACAATGACACACTCACAACTAGGGATGGGAATGGGTTAGTCGGTCGACTTTAAAAAACTAGGACTTGGGCCACAAAATATGGCATGAGGGCCAGGTCTGGGCCAAACCAAGACAGGCCTAGCCTGGTTCAGACCGGCCCAAACCATATTTTTTCATCTTGTTAGCATTGTTTTCTTTTAGTTTTACTCAGGCCAGCACAACCCTAATAGGGCCAAGGCCGGCCCTCAAGGGAATAGGGCCAGGTCTTAGGTTAGAGCTAGCCTGATCCATTAGAAGCCTACTTACAATCATCCGATTTGAAATCCAATAGGCTAGAGTGATTGTGACATCCTTATACCAAAAGCAAATGGTCTTTTTGTAAAAAATATCTTTATATATATATATATATATGTGTGTGTGTGTGTGCTCGTATATATATGTTCGGGTTAGATCCGGATCGGTTCAACCTGAACTCGGATCTAAGATTTTAGACCCTAACCTGACCCATTGGGTCTGAAAGTTGAAACCAAAACTCAGATCCAAACCCGTATAGGATCGATCCAACCCGATTGCCACCCCTAAGCCTAGACCCAGCCCTATGACCTCGGGCTCACTTGGGCATCCCAAATTCATGAATGATATGTCTCTTGACTTGAGGAGTGAGATCTGACACTACTCCACGCCTAGTGAGAGAAAAATCAGATTTTTTTTGTATTATTTGATTTTGAGAGAAAAATGAGATTTTTTTTTTATTATTTGATTTTGAGGAGTTAGTGGGGAAAAGGCCCTACCGGAATTAAACTTAAGACGATGCATTGCAAATCATCAAATTAACCAATTAAGCTAACTACGAAATACACAAAAGCGTGTGACCAATCACAACTGTTTTTGAAAAAACCCTCACATAAGCTAACTTCCAGTGTGAGCAGCACATAAAACGCACCCCGTCATCGTTTACACATTGAAAGGGTAAAGTCAGAGGAGAGAGAGAGGGAGTTGTGTAGAGAGAGAAAACAAAGTTTTGGAGAGACAAATGTCAAGAGAGAGAGAGAGGAGGAGAGAGAAAACTAAGCAGTAGAGAGAGACATTAAAGGGAGAATTGTGCTAAAAAAAAGAAGAAAGAATAAAAATTTAGAGATAGATGAGGTTCAGAGAGGTAATACGAGTGACGAAGTTTTAGAGAGGGACATGGGTTGAGAGAGAGACTAAACTAGAGAAAAAAGAGGACAGAGAAAGTAGAGTTTTAGAGAGAGAGAGAGTTAATGAGACAAGGAATTGTCATGAAAGAAAAAAATTTAGAGAGAGATGGGCTTGAGAGAGGAGAGAAAAAACCTTCTTTAAATAGAGAGAGAAAAAGAGGAGATAGAAAGTAGAGTTTAGTAGAGAGAGAGAGAGAGAGGTGTGGGGTTGACCAGGCGTAGTGAGGGTGAGCTACCTGCCCCTCTGCTCACGCACAAGACGGCGTTGAATAATTTATTGAAATCATGCGACTTTGGTGGTCTTCACCCACGTGAACGGACCTCTTTATTAACCCCACTCCACTACCACCTATTTCCATTATCGATTTAAAAACCCAAAAGAAAATCAAAACACAAAAAGAAAGAGAGACGACACCAATCCCCTTTAATTTTTCACTTGGTTTTATTAGTTTTCTCTCTCTCTCTCTCTCTAGAAAGTGGGTAGAGTTCCATGTTGTGAGAAAGAGAGCGTAGGAAAGGGGCAGTGGACTCCGAAGAAGACGACAAAGCTTCTCTCCTACATTCGCCCAACATGGCCACCCGTAACTGGCG